CTTCCTGCTCACCTCCGCCTGCTCACCCCCTCCCCCCCTTCCCAGCTGCAGCAGTTTCAGCAGCTCCAGCAGCAACAGCAGTACTTCCAGCAGCAGCAGCAGCCGCAGTAACTCTAGCAGCAGCAGTAGCAGCAGCAGCCGCAGTGGGGTGCTGACTCTCAGGCCGCGGCAGCTGCCGCTGGAGCCCCCACTGGAGCCGCCGCCTAGCAGCAGCAGCAGCTGACCTTTGGCACCGCAGCCATGGCTGCTCATGCCTCCCCTGGCCCCTCCCCTTAGTGTTCCTTCCCCTCTGCCCCCCCCAGTGTCCCTTACACCCAGGGCAGTTTCCTTGGTCATGTTGCTGTTGCACCGTTTGTCGCTTCCATGTATCCCTCTGCTATCAATGAGACGCTATTTCAGTACTCCGTGTCACCTCTCCCTCCCTCCTCCCCCACCCTGGACTTTGTCCTTGATAGTGGGGCCACAGAAACTGCATTGAAAGACGCTGACACCCTCACCCCCCTTCCTCTTCCCACTCAGTTTCATGCTGCCGACACCAGGTTTTCCATCCCCTACACTCACATCTCCACTCTCCCTTGCACCGCTTTCCCATCTGGTACAGTCACAGGTCTCCATATCCTCACCCTTTGCAACAACCTCCTCTCCCACCGTGAGCTGCAGTGCGCTGGTATTACCGCCATTAATCCTAGCCATGCTTCCTACTGGGATCTCTTCCACAATGCCTCTGGTCGCTTTCTCCTGCGCATTCCCCTTTGCCCTCGCACGCGCCTTTACACGCTCTGCACACCCCGTCCCTCTTCTTGTCGAGTCACCACTCGTGCTGGCACTTCCACCGGTCCCCGTCCCCCTCCCCCTCAGGTATCCTCCTCCCCTACTCCATCCCCCTTCAACTCCCCCCTCTCGCCCTCCCTCACTCCATCCCCCTCCTCCTCTACCGACCTCTCCCACCCTGCCGTGCTTTTGCATCACAGGCTTGGCCATCCCAACTTCGCCACGCTTCGCATCGCCGTCACCTCGCGCCTCCTTGACTGCCTTCCTCCCACACTACCTCCCCTGCTCCCCCATGCCCATCATGCATTCATGGCAAACTCAAACAGTCCCCCCATCACATTCATCCCACCTTCGCTGCCGCCCTATTGATCTTGTTCACATGGACCTCTGGGGCCCCTATCCCATACGCTACCGTCAGGGGCATCAGTACATGCTCGTCCTCGTCGACGACCACAATCGGTACTCCACCGACTTTTTCCTTCACACGAAAGACCAGGTGTCGGCTGTGGTCATCAACTGGGCTGAGCAGTGCCGCACTCACTTCAAACGCCCCATAGGCCGCCTTTATTCTGACGGTGAGGGTGAGTTCATCAATCATACCCTCTCCACTAACTGCAAAACACACGGCATTCAGCAGACCTCCACCCTTCCCCAATCCCCTCAGCAGAACCGCATTGCTGAGAGTCGCATTCGTGAGATCACCAAGATTGCTCGTTGCCTTATTGCTCACGCCTCCATCCCTCCTCCCCTCTGGAGATATGCCCTCCTCCATACCCCCCTCCTCCTCAATCTCCGCTCGCACCCTCAGCATTCCACCTCCTCCCCCACATAACTCTGTTCTAAGGCCAAGCCTGCTGTTGCCGGCCTTCGCATTTCGGGCTGCAAGGCGTTCGTCCTCATCCCTCCGCCTGATCGCTCCCGCGCTGCTGGCAAGCTCGCCTTTCGTGCCCTGGAGTGCGCCTACCTCGGGCACAATCGCGATTTCGCAGGCTACCTGTTCCTCCACCCTCCCTCCGGTCGCCTCATCCGCAGCATCGACGTCGTCTTCGACGAATCCGCTCCCTACTACTCCAGTCCTCCTCCTCCTTACCCTCTCCCCTCCCTATCCCACCCCCTGGCTTGGACCGATACCGTCCTCCCACCCCTCCTCCCTCCTGCACTCCTCCTCCCGCCTGTCACCCCTCCGCTCCCGCATTCCTCCTCTGCCGACATCTACGACCCTGCCGCACCCCCCTCCCCATCCCACTCAGTTGCACCCCCTCCCCCCTATCCCTCCTCCTCTCCCTCCCCCCCTCCTCCTCCTCCGCAGCAGCAGCAGCAGCAGCAGCAGCCGGATCAGCAGCCGCAGCGGCAGCTGAGACAGCAACAGCAGCACCAGCAACAGCAGGAGGATCAGCAGCCGCAGCGGCAGCAGGGGCAGCGATTGCGGCAATAGTAGCAGCAGCAGAGGCAGCAGCACCAGCAGGGGCAACAGCAACAGCAGGGGCAGCAACATCAGCAGCCGCAGCAGCAGCGGAGGGCAACCTCTAACTCCTCCCCTTTCCTCCTCCCTCGCATGCATACCCGCTCCCTGGACGATGTCCTTGGTACCCCTCCTCCCTCCTCCCTTCGGCTCCTCGAGGACTCCCACGAGGAGTTCCTCAACGTTCAGCAGCATACCCCTTTTCTTGCCTTGTTCTACCTTGACTTCCTCGGCTTTTCTGTCCTTGGCGCCACCTCCTCCCCCGCCATCTTCACTCCCACCACCTTCCAGGAGGGCATCACCTGCCCTGATGCTGACAAGTGGATAGCAGCAATTTTCCTGGAGTGTGAGGCGTTCATTCGCAACGACTCATTCGTCGACGTCCCCCTCCCAGCCGACGCCAACCTTGTCGCGGGCAAGTGGGTCTTTCGGGTGAAGCAGCTGTCGGGCGAGGGGCCGGTCTACAAGGCGAGCTACTGCGCCAAGGGCTTCATGCAGACTTGGGCGGTGGATTTCTGGGCCACCTTTGCCCCCACCGCCAAGCCGCCCACTCTTCGCACCGTCCTCGTCATTGGAGCGCGCGACAACATGGAGATCTGCTCCATGGATGTCTCCAACGCGTTCCTGCAGGGCGACCTGCACGAGCGCATCTTCCTTCAGCGGCCGCCTGGGTTCCACGCTGCCTTCCTTGAGAACACCATCTGGCAACTGCGTCGACCGGTCTATGGTTTGAAGCAGGCGCCGCGGGAGTGGCTTGCGAAGCTGTCTGCCACCCTGGGATCCCTCGGCTTCTCTGCCTCTCACTCTGGCGCCAGCCTCTTCATGCGCTCCTCGCCTCGTCGGTTCTTCGTTCTGGTCTATGTCGACGACATGATCCTGCTTGCTGACTCCAAGGCCGACATGGAGCAGATGAAGCTGTCGCTGCAGCAGCGCCTCAAGTGCAAGGATCTTGGCGACCTGTCGCACTACCTGGGGATGGCCATCACCCGCAACCGCCATGCTCGTACCATCATCCTCTCCCAGTCCTATACATCGGCCAAGTCCTGGAGAAGTTTGAGATAGCGCAGGCCACGGCCGTATCCACTCCCCTCCCTTTCGGCCACCAGCTCGCCCGACCCACCTCTCCCTCCTCCTTCCCTCACCCCTATGCCGAGCTCGTCGGGTCGCTGATGTACGCCATGATGTGCACCCGCCCCGACTTTGCCTACCCCATCAGCGTGCGCGCTTGCTTCGTTGGTACCGGCCGCCACACAGAGGAGCACTGGAAAGCTGCTAAGCGGGTCCTCCGCTACCTTCGCGGGACCCGGGACCATGTCCTCACCCTTGGCGGCCCCTCCCCTCCTTTGCTCTCGGACTTCAGCGACTCCTCCTGGGCGGACTCGCAGCCGGACCGCCACTCCTCTCAGGGCTACGGCTTCACCCTGGGCAGCGGTCTCGTCAGCTGGTGCTCCACGCGCTCTTCTGCCATCACTCTCTCCTCCTGCGAGGCCGAGCTCTACGCTGGAACCATGGCCGCTCAGGAGTCTCGCTGGCTCTGCTATCTTCTCGCTGAGCTGGGCGCTCCTCAGCGCTACCCCACCCTCTGTTGTGACAACGCCAGCACCATCCATCTCACTCAGGACCCCTTCTATCACGCCCGCTCCAAACACATCGAACTGCGCTACTTCTTCATCAGCGAGCTCATCCAGCAGGGACTCCTCGCAATTCGGAAGATTGCGGCCGAGGCCAACTTGGCCGACATCTTCACCAAGGCTCTCCCTCGACTTGCGCACTCTGCCCTGCTCCGCCTTCTCGGCCTTGCTCTCCCGGGCGCCCCTTGATTCAGGGGTTGTTTTCTTCTTGTGTTGGCATGCTAAGGGGTTGTGTTAGAAATATATTGTAGCATGCCTGACACAATTGTGACTGTACACCAAGTGTGGTGTACAGTTGGGTTGGGACTACAACCAACATTGGGTGTAGCCTTGCATGTTGGGGTGCCAATCCAACCCAATTGTCGTGGAGCCCCCAAATGCAACCCAATGGACCATTGGTTACCTCACTTCCCAAAGTGAGGTTAACCTAACCCATTGGGCCACATGTTGCCCCACTTCCCCAAGTGTGGTCAACCCAACCCAATGGGCCATTGGTTGCCTCAATTCCCCAAGTGAAGTCAACCCAACCCAATGGGCCATAGGTTGGCCCACTCCCCCAAGTTCCACCTCCCTCCCTTTCCCTTCCAAACTTTAATCTTCCCACCTATGTATGCTTGCTTGTTACCTAATCAAGCTAATGGTTCCATTTCAACTTTTCACACGAACATGGAGGGAGGGGATGAGAATGGGGCAGAGTGGAGAGGAGGGGGAGGGGGAGGGGTATGCATGGCAAGCATTCCGGGCTCTTATTGATGGTGGTGCTATGCCAGGTGACTATAACGAGGCTGGTGGTGTGGAGACGGGAAGAGACAGTATGGCCGCTGTAGGGGACTTTCTCAGAAGTGATGTTATCAGAGGTGGTTCTTTCGAGGGGGATACTAGCGAGGTGGATGTGATGCAGAGGAGACGCTACTCCTCCCCCTCTTCTGCCACCCTAGGCTGTCCTAAAGCTGCTGAGTTTTTAGTTTTTAGTTTTTTTGGGGCTAGGGAGTGTTTCCTGGGCAGGAAGGTGCGAAATTTTGTAGGACTGCCCGGTCGAGCGTGCCAGGCCGGAGGTGCATGCGGGCAGATGACATTCTTTCTGGACGGTGCCCACACAGTGGAGAGCATGGAGGTGTGCGGAGAGTGGTTTTGAGATGCCACTCAGGGTGATGACGGGGCGGATGGATGCGAAGATGGACGAACAAATGGTGGGCGAGGAGGCAAGGAGTGGGAGAAGGAAGGTGCACAAAGAGCAGCGGGAGTGGGGTCAGTTGCAGATACTGCAGCAGCAACATGATCAGAAGGGGCAGCAGTAGCAGGGGTGCTCACCCACATGTGTTGTTGTTCAAGTGCATGGCTGAAAGGGACCCACACACACTCATGGCACAGCTGCGAAGGACCCTTGAGCGCAGAGGTGCGTTTGAAAACACTCAGGTACGGTTGGAGAGGGTGAAGTTCGGTTGTTTCGGCATCCATATCAATCCATACGCGGCTGCTCAGGACGCTTGTGGGCAGAGGTGCGTTTGAAAACACTCAGGTGCGTTTGAGATTCTGAGGTGTGCTTGAGAACACTTAGGTCCCTTTTTTGCCCAATCCCCTCCTTTCACATACTCTTCCTTGCCCGTACCCTTCCTTTCCCATTCCCTTCCTTTCCCATTCCCTTCCTTTCCTAATCCCCTTCCTTTCCCGTTCCCTTCGTTTCCCATTCCCTATTCCCTTCCTTTCTTATTGCCTTCCTTTTCCTTTCCCATTCTCTTCCTTTTCCATTCCCATCCCTCCAATTCCCTTTCTTGCCCATTCCCTTCCCTGCAGGCCTGCATTTTCAAGTAGCCCTCTTTGTCCCCTCACTCTCCTCCGACAACACGCTTCTCCCCCCTCCCTCCACCTCCTCCCCCTCTCCTCTTCCCCCATCCCACTCTCCTGGACCCACGACTGGGATGCCGATGCAAAGTAGCGATGGTACCGAAGCTAGTGTACCGAGGCCAAGCAGCAGCCTCGGCCAGAGCAGCTTGGACTGGCAGCTGTCCACGCAGCAAGCGTGGGAACAGTTGCAGCAGCAGCAGCAGCCACTGCATCTTGCTATGTCTGCTGCGGCTGCTGCTGCTACTACTTCTGCTGCTGCTTCTGCCGCCGGGGCTGGTACTGCTTCTCCATCTGTTGATCCTCCGGATGCTGCTGCTTCTGGAGCTCGTGCTGTGGACTCGATTCCTGCCTCGTTCCTTGCACCTCACAAGCTGACTCGATTGGTGGCATCACCTGCACAAGCAGCAGCACAAGCAGCAGCAGCTGCACAGCCAGCAGCGCAAGCAGCAGCACAAGCAGCAGGAAGGAAAGAGTCGGAGGACTTATCCTGGCCGTCGATTTTACAAGGAACTATGAGTTTGGGGCCTCACAGTGCTGTGCTGCCGTCACTGCCGGCAGCCATTGATCTGCTTAGATGGACGGCTGGGATGCCTCCGGACGTCAATTTGCAGGTGTTGGTGACAGGGTCACTGCACCTGGTGGGAGATGTGCTGCGTTTCTCCCCTGCAGTCTTTCCCAACCTCAACCAACCATTTCTCACCACCAAGTAAAGGTTTGCATTACAAAGCTTTGGGGGGTGAAATTTGGAGAAAACAATAACATTTGGCGCATTTATTCATTATCAGGTGGAGACAACACGATGGATTTCAATAAGGATCTACATATTCACTTTCACACGGCATATGCGCCGCCACTCGACTTATTTGCACGCGAAGCGAACCAGCCAATCGGAATCACCGCCACTACACAGCTCTGGCCAACACAGCCAAACGCGTGCCTTTGGCGGCTGTGGTGTCCAAAAGCTGGGTAGTTGGGATCATCTAGAAGGGCTGTGTCGTGCTGAAGGGCTGGCTCCTACTGAAGAGCTCAGAGTTGCGTAAAACGTGATGGATGAAAGGATGCGGGACGGGTGTGCTTCAGAGTGAGATGGGGATGACGAGTTTGATTCTGCCTCAGGGTTGGGTGGGGATGGAGAGCTAATTGATGCCTTTCTGGAGAAGTTACTTGGTGCCTGGGTCTAGCTTCGGTGGATATGATTTAACAGCCGCGGAGACCCTGCAGGCAAAGAAGATCACGATATATTGGTGCTGCTCCGCTCCCTGGTGCTTCGATCGGTGCTGCTCCACTCGGCGGCGCTTCGCTTGGTGCTGCTCCGCTCGCTGGTGCTTCGATCGGCGCCGCTCCGCTCGGAGGCGCTTCGCTTGGTGCTGCTCCGCTCGATGGTGCTTCGATCGGCGGAGCTGCGCCGCTCGCTGGTGCGTCAATCGGCGGAGCTCCGTTGCTCGGCGGCGCTTCGCTTGGCACTGCTCCGCTCGCTGGTGCTTCGATCGGCACTGCTCCGCTCGGCGGTGGGAAGCTTGGGGCAGCTTCGCTCGGCGCTGCGTCGCTCGGAGGCGCATCGATAGGAGCTGCTTCAATCGGTGGTGCTTCGCTCGGTGCTGCTCCGCTCGGCGGTGCGTCGATAGGAGCTGCTCCGCTCGGTGGTGCTTCAATCGGCGGAGCTCCGCCACTCGGCGGTGCTTCGATCGGCGGCATTCCGCTTGCCGGTGCTTCGATTGGCGGAGCTCCACTTGGCGGTGCTTCGCTTGACGGTGCTTCGATCGGCGGTGCTCCGCTGCTCGGTGGAGCTTCGATCGGCGCTGCGTCGCTCGGCGGCGATCCGCTCGGCGGTGCTCCAATCGGAGCCGCCTCTACCACCAGGCAGGAGAAATCAACAACCAAAGATCCCCTGGAGGCATAGGGAGTGACAGGCTTGGATAGCTCCGTGTACGCTAAGAGGAGGTGCACTATGAATACTAAGCAATGAATACTGTACAGAGGAGTGAGGGTGGAGAGTGAGGGTGGAAAGTGAGGTGGGTATCAACAAATGATGCTGAATGCTCCAAGTTGGACTGGGTACCTGTTTGTTCTAAGTCGACTAGACATGCACCTGGCAGGCGCATGTAAGCCACGTAAGCCATGTACCTGTTAGGCCCATGGTAGGAAAAAGCCGTGGATCCGTCTGCCGAGAAAGCATAGATGATTGAAGAGGGGCCTGACAGCTTCACAGGCACGTTCCCGGTTCCCTCCATGCGAATAAATCTGCAACAACAACAGCGCAAAAAAACTTTTGATTCAAATGAATGTGGTTACATGTGAATATCTGTGCTTTTTTGTTGGCACCGGGGCATTGATGTTGGAACATGGGGGTGCTTGCGTGAGCATCTAAGACATGTGAGGCTTGCGTGAGCAGCAGGATACTCACTCACGGCATGAGCATCCAAGACATGATGTCACAATCGTCTCGTCTCTCACCTGGTCAGCTTTCTGTTGGGGTCTATCAGATCAGTCTCCGTTTCTATACCGCCGACCAGACTGAGTCTTGTAAATTCCGATAAACTTTGATCACGCGAGGTAGACGACAGCCTGTACAGGCCGGGGTTGTCAATATTGCAGACAACGGCGTCGCTTCCCGCCATTCTGCCGTCCGGCGACCACCCCACTGCCGCCCAGCCGGACTCGGAGGTCTCTAGGGTGAGGTTGAGGACGGTCGGGTTGGGTTTCAACCAGTGCAGAAAGAGACTGGGAGCGGGCGCATTGAAAGAGAGGACTTACTATATAGTTATGAAAGGAAATCAATGGGAAAATCAACTTTCGAAGGGGAAATTTTTAGAGAATGAGCAGAGGAGAATCAGGGGATGCAAACTGACTGGAAGATGCACGTTCCACGCGCACTGGTCTCGAGCGGCTCTGCGAACCGCTCGAACTAAAGAACTTGGTAGAAAATACAGTTGTTTTATTATAGGATTGAACGTGGTGCGTTTCCGAAGTCGAGCGAACCTGTTGCCAAGGGGAACCGCGAAGTCGTATCCAGGGAGAATCGACGCCATGCACGTTGCAGCAGCGGCAGTGCCCTCCGCCGCCGCTCTCGGCGCGAAACACACGCCGATGAAGACCACGGCGAGCAGGACCACCGCGAAAGCCGGCGCCATAGACGGGAGCTTTCCAGCCATGATTTAAAGTACTTGGGACTGTGGCGCTCTCGAATCCCGCAGTAAAACCGTCTGAGATGGATGTTCAAGGAGATTCGCACAGCATGAACTGAGAGCTCTGACTGACTTTACTTCTCAATTATGCTTCCGAGATGCTAAATGACTAGCGCTCACTGCGAGAGTCGGGTCCGTGTGTCTCATGTAACTGTTTTAGCACGATACCTAGCTTGGATTTGCGTCCGCTGTTCTGTGCTTCTATGTAGTGTGACCGAGTCCCCGTGGTACATTCCTCCCCGCCATGGTGCTACCATTGTGGCATGCGACGTCGCGGCTTGGGAAGTCAGGCAATAATTCTCACCCGTAGCGGGTTTGAATAATTGTATTGTACCCTGCATGCATGGCTCCTACTACAATTGTGGCGTAGCGGTTGCACATGCGGTGCGGACTTCCATCCAAAGACAGTCAGCAAATGCCATCGAAGGGCAGTCAGCAAATGCTATCGAAGGGGCAGTCAGCAAATGCGGTGCGATGTTATCGCGTTTGGCTTGAAGCATCACACGAATTTCCGTCAACTGAAGTCAAAGCAAGCAATTTCAGGCTCGAAAAAACCACCTGGCCGGGTTCGGAATGACTGCGAAAAGCAGAAAGGGGTGGAGTAACACGGCGGGCCAACTCGCGACCGGCGAGTGTGGGTTGCAACTGTTACGAGCTGAAAAAGAAGAGTACTGGAACTCAATATAGAATCTATGATTACATCATGCCCCATGCAAATCATAGGCATGCCATTTTGGCCATATTTTGTCTATGCACTATTGAACATTTTGTGTTTTTATTTTCCCGTCATTTTTTTGCCCCTGGACGTTGAATGGGGTATTTGTAACCTGGCCCGGTGGTGTTTCACCCGCTTCGGCATCCGCCCTGATAGGTCGACTATTGGCCGTGTGCTTCGGGGCGAGTCTCGTTGGAGTGAGGCGTCAGAGAGTAGCAACACCATTCGCGTGCGTGGTGATGCGCACCCATATCTGGAGCAGGCAATGCTCCGTTGGATCGCCAACGCCCGACCAGCTGGTGTTCCACTGACGCTCGCCACAATTTGCCATCATGTCGCCGAGATTGTTCGCGTCATGGGGATCCCTGTGTCCTTCCGTTGCTCGGTCGGGTGGGTGCGCCGAACGATGCAACGACACGGTGTTCGCTGCATGAGCTCTCGCAGTGAGGCTGCTGACAAGGATTTAGCAGCGGTGAACACCTGCAAGACGAAGCTTCCACAGCTCCTCATGCATCAGCACCGACTTTTTCGTATGCCGCTCCACCACCAGCAGCCACTTCTCGAACTCCCGCAGCACGTCAGACTTCTTGGCGACCAGCTTCACCCACACGTAGCGGGTCTTGCGGTCCTTCAGCAGCAATTAGTACAGGCTGCCGTCCTTGGCGGCCACCCGGAATGGCCCGCATAGGTCGATGTGCACGACGGCCAGGGCCTCGTCGGCGTCCTTGCCCTTGTCGGGGAAGGTGTGCCGCGCCAACTTCCGGCCCACGCAGGAGACGCACGGGAAGTCGGCCCCGGTCAACGGTTTGATGTCTAGGCCGGTGGCGACTTCATGCTTTGCCGAGCTCGTGATGGTTGTCACACAAGATACGAAGGAGTAATTCATATCGCGTGTTACAAGATAGGGGGGTGTAGCATTGGGGAACAAGCAATAACGAGGCGGGAAGTACAGTGCATCCACGCGAAGCATTGGGAAGTGTTACGATATGAAACTTTATGAGAAGGCATTCCTGTATGCTACAGGGGCCGACTCTAACGAGTACGAAGCCGAGGAGTCAGAAGAGTCGAAGCGACGCTGGTAACCGTCTGACCAAGACCGATGCAGGCAAAAACATTCAAAGTCAAAAGAGCGGGAACAGGTTTGAAGCGGGTTCCCGCGCCGCACGGTTTGAACTTCGCTGTAATAAGGGAATGTACCCCTTAGAGTACATGGCTAGTCTAGGTCGTTTCGTATTCCTTTGTATTTCCTATAAAAACTCGATGTATGCATGCTATTATCACCTCAGTCATTTACATTCACTCTGATCTGAGGTCAACACTTCCGCTGCAAACATTACCCTGCGATCAACCCTGAGCGATCCTTCGCTAAGTCCCACTTGGGATTGTAACATGGTATGAGAGCTACTCAGGGATTCTTCGCAACTTCACTTCCGTGAAATTCGCCGAATCAAGATCTGGCGAGTGGCACACGCTCCAAGACCAAGATGGCCGGAGGATCCGGAGGCCAAGCGAATCTGAAGGCCGAAGGACAAACCAACCCGGCTGCGACAAATGAGGCGACAACCACGATCAGCACTGCCGCACTCGAGCAGTTATTTTCGCGACTATCAACTATGGAGAAAGACCTCCAAGAATTGCGCAAAGGCGATGCAGGAACCTCTTCCCAACCAGCTCAACCTGGACAACCGGCCGCGAAAAGCCGTGATACCGCCACGCACACCTTCTCCCTCGACACAGACAAATCAACAACAACTGCCCTCCGTCCAAGTGATGAAGTTATTAACACTGCGCAAGCACGCTTTCTCAGCGTTTCGAAAATTAAGACTAGTGTCGCGTTCGACGGCAAGGATTTTTACACTTGGAGTTTCGAGCTTGAGCTCCTCCTACAAACAGCACAGATCTACCATTACTTTGACGGCTCCTACGCAAAACCGGTGGAAGACACCGAAGACGCCAGGACTCAGTACTACAGCGAGTCCCTCATGGCGTACAGTGTGCTGCTACGCAACATGACGCCTGCGGAACAACTCAGCATTCGCTCCTACAAAGAGAGCGCCACTCTAGCTCTGGAAGCATGGAAGCATCTCGTTGAGGTATATCAACCGAAGGATTTGGTCACCGCCAGCAGGCTCCTGCAGCAACTCATGGAGACCAAGATGGGGCACGGGGAGAAAGCAATTCATATGCCCCATGCAAATCATAGGCATGCCATTTTGGCCATATTTTGTCTATGCACTATTGAACATGTTGTGTTTTTATTTTCCCGTCATTTTTTTTTCCATTATGGTGCATTTTATATGCGCATATGGTGAAGTTGACATGATAACTAAATATTCTGAGGTTGACATGATAACAAGTCATGCCAGCTGGTACGCGATTATCAATCTGCACGCCTACCATGTCTCACCTACTGCGCCGCGCGCAGTTGCCCCTGGACGTTGAACGGGATATTTGTAACCTGGCCCGGTGGTGTTTCACCCACTTCGGCATCCGCCCTGATAGGTCGACTGTTGGCCGTGTGCTTCGGGGCGAGTCTCGTTGGAGTGAGGCGTCCGAGAGTAGCAATACCATTCGCGTGCGTGGTGATGCGCACCCAGATCTGGAGCAGGCAATGCTCCGTTGAATCGCCAACGCCGGACCAGCTGGTGTTCCGCTTACCCTCGCCACAATTTGCCATCATGTCGCCGAGATTGTTCGCGTCATGGGGATCCCTGTGTCCTTCCGTTGCTCGGTCGGGTGGGTGCGCTGAACGATGCAGCGACACGGTGTTTGCTGCATGAGCTCTCGCAGTGAGGCTGCTGACAAGGATTTAGCAGCGGTGAACACCTGCAAGACGAAGCTTCCGCAGCTCCTCATGCACCAGCACCGACTTTTTCGTCTGCCGCTCCACCACCAGCAGCCACTTCTCGAACTCCCACATCACGTCGGACTTCTTGGCGACCGGCTTCACCCACACGTAGCGGGTCTTGCAGTCCTTCAGCAGCAAGAAGTACAGGCTGC